TTTCCTGCTGATCTTTTCTCAGATGTTACTCTTAAGATGCACAATAGATGGAAGCAGGGAGAAGCATTTTTTTGTAATTTTCACTTCTGCTTTCTCAGAGGAGCGCACACTAGAAATAGCAGAAGTGATTCCTCTTGACTTCCACTTACGTGTTATTTCCACACAATGACAGTAGACAGGAGTGTGTCTGTACCTTAAGGGCTCTAATCACACAAAATTAAAAGGTAATGAGAATCCAGACCCCAGTACTAAGCTCACATTGAGATCCATCCAGTTTTAGGCCCTTAATGTCCTGTCTCACCTACTGTTCTCATTAGCCAATGAGGTAAAAACAATTATTGTCTCCATTTTACAGGAAATTAAACTGAACACTGCCCTGGCTGGTTTGGCTCAGCAGTTAGAGCGTCGGCCCGCAGACTGGAGAGTCCCGTGTTCGGTTCCCAGTGAAGGCGCGTATCTTGGTTGCAGTTTGTCCCCGCCCTAGTGGGGATCATGTGAGAGGCAATCACTCAATGTGTCTCTCTTGAATCAATGTTTCTCTCTCTCCATTCCTCCCACTATATCTGAGGATAAATGCAAGAATGTCCTCGGATGAAGATAAATAAATAAACAAACAAACAAACAAATGAACTTTGATTCTAATGCAGTTCTGAATCCTGTACTGAGACCAGTATGGGCCAAGATGGGCCAGAAGCTCATGAACACATGAACAAGTACTGGCGAGGGTGTGGAGAAAAGGACACTCTAGTACACTGCTGGTGGGAATGCAGACTGGTGCAGCCACTATGGAAACACTATGGTATTTCCTCAAAGAATTAAAAATTGAATTTCCATTTAACCCAGTGATCCCACTTCTAGGAATATACTCTAAGAAGCCTGAACACCAATCAGAAAGAATATATGTACCCCATGTTCATAGCGGCACTATTTACAATCACTAAGATCTGGAAATAGCCCAAGTGTCCATCAGTCGACGAATGGATAAAAAAGCTGTGGTACATATACACAATGGAGTACTACGCAGCTGTAAGAAAGAAAGATCTCTTAACCTTTGAGACGACATGGAGGGACCTGGAAAGTATTATCCTAAGTGAAACAAGCCAAACAGAGAAAGGCAAGTATCATATGATCTCATTTAATTGTGGAATATAATGAACATAACAGTCTGAAGAACAGGGTAGACTCAAGGTGGAAGTAGGGTACAGACTAATAATCCCCACAAGAGGGGGTGTGGGGGAAGAGATAAACCACAGAACTTATGTGTATGTATGCATGACAAAAAGACATGGACAACAAAGCTGGGGAAAGGGAGGGGGAGGAAGGTGTCAATGGGTGAAAAAGGAGAAATGTCTGTAACAAAAATAAATAATAAATAATTAAAACAGATGCACAGATCAATGTAACCAAAGAAAAATTTCAGAATTAAACTCATGCCTTATATTGGTCAATAAATACATGGAAATGGAGGCAAGAATATTCAATAGAGACCCGGGAAACCCAGAAATGATTGCTGTGGACTTCCGGTCAAGATGGCGGGTAGGTAAACGCGGTATCGCGTCCTCCCACAACCACATCAAAGTTACAACTAAACTACAGAACAACCATCATTCAAAACCGCCTGAAATCAAGCTGAATGGAAGTCGTACAACTACGGAATTAAAAAAAAAAAGCAGCCACATCCAGACTGGTAGGACGGGCGGCGCGACGGGCTGGTCCCACACCCACGTGTGGCGGATAAAAATCAGGAGGCTCCCGCGGCTGGGAAGGTCCTTCCTGAGGACTGAGGGGTCCCCGTCCCACACCAGGTGCCCCGTTCAGGTTTCCAGTGCCAGAAAGAGAAGTCCCCATAACTTCTGGCTGGAAAAACTAGCAGAAACTGAGGCTCAGGGAAGCTGAAGCGGCTGGAGCCCCAGGCAGCTCCTTAAAGGGCCCGCACACGGACTTACCGACTCTCTCCCTCTAAGCTCGGAGGGGAGGCAGCTCGAGGGGCGCCAGAGACATACAGGGAAGAACTGAGCTGTTTGGCACTGGAGCAAGGGCTGGAGAGGGGGCTTCCTCGGGGACAAACGTGCTGTCATAGGCCTTTGTTCCTTTGGTGAGCCATTCCCGGGGGCGGCAGACAGAAGCCATAACTGGGACCCCAGCAACCTGGCTCACACTGGTAGCCCCGCCCTGCTGACTCCCTGAGGCCCCGCCCCGCCCCACCCAACTTTCAAGCCCACCCAAGCTGTTGCCACTTGCTTAACCATAGGATTGGCCGGTCTTGGATCCTGCTTCAGGTTTTTCCTAAATTCTTTCAAACGAGCAGCATCGGGTCTCAGCGAGCCCCATACCTCTCATTAAGTAATACACAGAAACAAACACAGGGAGGCAGCCAAAATGAGGATACAAAGAAACAGGTCCCAAATGAAAGAACAGAACAGAACCCCAATAAAAGAACTAAGCAAAAGGGAGATAAGCAACCTAACAGATACTGAGTTCAAAATACTGCTTATAAGGATGCTCAATGAACTTAGTGAGAACCTCAGTGAACTTAGGGAGGGCCTCAAGAGCATAAAAAAGGACCAGTTAGAAATCCTGGATACACAGTTAGAATTGAAGGAGGCATTAACTGAAATAAAGAATAATTTACACAGCTTCAATAATAGAGTATGTAAATCCAAGGAGCAAACCATCGATTTGGAATATAAGGAAGCAAAAAATCCCCAATCAGAACAGCAAAAAGAAAAAAGAATCCAAAAAAAATGAGGATAGTGTAAGGAGCCTCTGGGACAACTTCAAGTGTGCCAACATTCGCATCTTGGGGGTGCCCGAAGGAGAAGAGAGAGAACAAGAAATCGAAAACCTGTTTGAAACAATAATGGCAGAAAAGTTTCCTAACTTGGTGAAGGAAACAGACATACAAGTCCAGGAAGCAGAGAGAGTCCCAAACAAGATGAACCCCAAGAGGCACACACCAAGACACATCATCATCAAAATGCAAAAGGTTTAAGACAAAGAGAGAATCTTAAAAGCATCAAGACAAAGGCAGCTAGTTACCTACAAGGGAGTTCCCATTAGGCTGTCAGCTGATTTCTCAAAAGAAACTTTGCAGGCCAGAAGGGAGTGGCAAGAAATATTCAGAGTGATGAAAACCCAGAACCTACAACCAAGATTATTCTATCCTGCAAAGCTGTCATTTAGAATTGATGGACATATAAAAACTTTCCCAGACAAGAAAAAGTTAAAGGAGTTCATCACTACCAAACCGTTATTATATGAAATGATGAAGGGTCTTTTTGAGGAAAAAGATAAAATGTATGAACAAACAAAATGGCAATGAATACATATCTATCAACAATGGAATCTACAAACAAAATGAACAGGAAGAACAGAAACATTCTCATAGATACAGAGAACATTTTGTTGGTTGCCAGTTGGGAAGGGGGTTGGGGGAATGGGTGAAAAAGGTGAAGGGATTAAGAAGCACAAATTCATTGCTAGACTGACAAACCTCAAAGGGAAAGGGGTTGGGGCAGTGGGAAGAAATAAACCAAAGAACTCATGTGCATAACCAATGGACACAGACAATAGTGTGGGAAAAGGTGGGAGGGGGGCGGGAGTGGGGAGGAGGGGGTCAATGGGGGAAAAATGTGGAACATCTGTAATACATATTATATCCAACAATAAAGATTTGAGAAAAAAAAAAAGAATATTCAATAGGTTAAAGACAGTCTGGTTAATGAATGGTGTTAGGAATACTTGACCGATATATAAAAAGATAAACTCAGAATGGATTAAAAACTTATATGTAAGACCCATAACCATGACACTTGTAGAAGAAAACATAGGTCCTAAACGCTCTGATATTATTCTTAGTAATATTTTTTGCATATGTGTATTTGGGCAAGAGAAAAAAATATAAAGTAAACAAATGAGACTACATTAAACTAAAAGGTTTTTGTTGTTGTTGTTGTTGTTGTTTTTATGATCCTCACCCGAGGACATTTTTCCATTTTTTATTCAGGTAGAGTGGGAGGGAGAAAGAGGAACAGAGAGAGAGAGAAACATCGATGTGAAAGAGACACATCGAGTGGTCGCCACCTGCACAACCAACCAGGGTCGGGGACAAACTGCAACCGAGGTACATGCCCTTAGCAGGAACCGAACCCGGGTCTCCCTGGACCGCAGGCCGATGCTCTAACCACTGAGCCAAACTGGCCAGGGCTAAACTAAAAGGTTTTTGCACAGAAAAGAAAACCATCAACAAAATGAAAAGACACCTACTGAATGGGAGAAGATATTTGCCAATGTTATATCTGATAAGAAGTTAATATCCAAAATATATAAGGAAGTCATACAACTTAGCACAAAGAAGACAGACCAAATAAAAAATAGGCAGAAGACCTGAATAGACATTTCTCCACAGAAGACATTGAGATGGACAACAGACATATAAAAAGATGCTCCATGTCACTCACCATTAGAGAAATGCAAATGAAAACAACGAGATATCAGTTCACACTGGTCAGAATGGCTAAATTAAGAACGTGCAGAGACCCATTTCCTGTACTGTTACTGGGGTTGCAAACTGGTGCGTCCACTATGGAAAACATTATGGAAGATCCTCAAAAAAATAGAACTAGAACTACCATAGTACCCAGCAATCCTACTTCTGGTTGTTTACCCAGAAAAACCAAAACAATAATTCTAAAAGATATATGTATTCCTATGTCCCCAGAGTCCTGATGGGGAAGCTCTTTCCTGCTTTCTCCTGTGAGTGCACTGCCATCAGTGGGGGTGTGTGTCCTGCACCCCTTATCTGGGAAGCCTCAGCAGTGGAGAGGATCATGCCTGCCTCGGCTTTTGGAAACACCCAGGCAGGCAAGAAAGGCTGGTGTCCCGGCCTTCCTCCTCCAGCTCCACCAGCAGCTGCCCAGCTGGCTCCCATCATCCCCCCAGTGAATGCTGGGCCATAGCCGCATAGGCCTTCCAGGGAGGGTGGCCTGGCCACGTCCCAGCCCAAGGCCTCGCCGGATGATTCCTGTAACCCCAAGATTCTGTATGAGGACTTCCGACGTTGGCAGCTCTTCAAGGCCCTGGCCCGGGGGCACCTTCCCCAGAGTCCGGATGCGGAAGCTCTTTCCTGCTTTCTCCTGTGAGTGCACTGGGCAGGGCACGGGGCCCCCCTGGAGCTTCCCATCCAAGAGGAACGTGGGAGGGACATGCAGGCTGGCTGATCCTGGGGTCCTGGCAGGAGGGCTGAGGCTGATGTCCAGCTCTAGGGTGCAAGTGGACAGTCTGCCTCCAGTCCAGGTTCATGTCTGGTGTGAATGTGAGGCAGTAACAGCAGGAGCTGGGAAGGTTGTCTATGCGCAGACACCTCCTCCCCACTGTCGGTGCTCAGTGATGCTGGGTGGGGTGGGAACATGTGCTCTTCAGAGCCGGGTGGTCAGGAGGGTGGAGTGCAGGCTGTAGCCTGTGACTGACCCTGAGGAATTACAGGCAAGTGCTCCGGTCCCTGTCCCGCCTGAAGCCCACCATGACGTTGGAGGAGGGAATTGGGCAGGCCGTGCAGGAATGGCAGCGCACAAGCAACTTTGACCGGATGACCTACTACGACATGGCAGCAAAGTGAGTCAGGGTGCTTGGTCCCCACAGCTTTGGGTTGGTTGCTGAACGCAGTCAGGGTTAAGGGGGTGATCGCAGCAGGGTTGAGGGGTGCTGAGTGCAGGGCAGGGTCCAGCTGTGGTGGTGCTCAGCAGAGAGGATGTAGGGAAGAGGGCTGTTGGTCAGCACAGGTTCCCCACAGGCCAGAGGCTCTTCCCTTCTCTGGAAGCCTTTCCTCACCTTCAGATCTGGTTCCTCTGCCCTACATCCCCTGGGAGCTCCACCCTCCTCTCATCTTGACCCATCCATGGTTGGACATGACGGCTCAGGACAGGTGGGGGTGAACGTGCCAAGCCCAGTGGGGTCAGACTGCAGCCAGAGAGGCTGTGCTGGGAATGTTCCCACCAGGCAGCCTCCTGCCTGCTCGCTGCCTTGGCCCTGACAGCCCCAAGGCCCTTGCTCTCCCACCCCCCACCCCCCATTACTGCTGCCTTTGCTGGGCTCTGGGTGCCTCCTTCTCAGCACAGCTTGTGTCTCCCTCTCCCCCAGGTTCATGGAGTTTCAGGCGGAGGAGGACCTGCAGACTCAGAAGTTGCAGTTGATGAAGGGGGCACAGGGTCAGCCTCCTCCAGCCCCACCGAGACCTGATCCTCAGGGTTCCCCACGCCAGTGGTGAGCCCACAGCCAGGTACGCCAGGACGTTCCCACAGGAGCCCAGGGAGAAAGACAAGAGGGACCCAGGTCAGGTCACTGTCCCCACCCTATTGGTCCTTTTCCTTCAAGGATGCTTTGGTCTTTCAACTGAAACACCATGAAAGCTGGGGCCTCAGCTGCCCTTTGTCGCCATGGGGTCTGGACCTGGTCACCTCTCATAACCCCTCTCCTATCTCCCTGCCAAAGGCCCCAACATACAGTGTGCTGAGAAGTGGGCTGAAGGGGGACCCTTGGAGAATCGGTGGCTAGACATGTCCTCACACGTGACTGTCTTGCATGCTCCCTCCGTCCTCTCCCCTCACAGGGTCCCAGGGCTTCAGGTGGTCCTGACCTGGCTGCACCCATGTGAATGCCCCCCAAACACTGCCCTCCCCTTCACATGCTCGGGAGGTGGAAGCGTTATCCCCTCACGCTCCTTCCTCTTCCCTCTCTGCCCAGCGAACACTCCCAGCACCCAGTGTGCCCACCCACTGCAGCAGCCAGGGGAGACCGAGTCACCCAATGGCATCCCCCCTGAGGCCGTGCAAGAGTACATGGACACCATGGACTATTTGGAGGGGCTGGCGCACTCAGCCTCGGGGGAGCCAGGAGGAGAACGGAACGAGGACACAAAAAAGTTGCATCAGAGACCGTCATAGGCATCATCTAACAGATGCTCACCTGTCGAAACTTATTGCTTTGGCTGTGTCTTTAGGAGTTCAGAGCACCCACCACCCCGGGCTCAATGTTCCCCTTGACTCCACAGGGTCACGGGAGCACCTATTCTGGACTCAATCCCAGGGAGGCCTCCATTCCCAGAGAGCCCCCTCTTGTTAGGGAGCCTCGCAGGCCAGTGGACAGGTCCAGGGAGGATGAGGGGGACCTCCCCAGCCTGGCCTTCCTCTCGGCCTCTCCTAAGAGCCTGCTGCCCTGTGTGCTGTCCCTGAGTCCTGTCCCTGCCTCGGGCCGTGTCTGCCCTGGAGCTCGGGGGCCCCGGGGAGCTGCCCAGTCCCGGTTCTTTCGGACACTAGGCCTCAGCCAGGCTCCACCCTCAGCTTCCAAGTCCAGGAAGCGAGCTCTGGGTGGAGGCCTGGTCCATGCTGAGAAGACCCCCCTCCCAGGGGCAGAGCTCGGGGTCTCTGGGAGGCCAGCATTGGCTCTGGGGCTGGGTAGCTCCTCACAGCCTCAGAAGAGAAAGAGTGACCAGTCTGTCCCTGGGGGTTGGGCGAAGCGGCACTGCAGCCAGGATGTAGCTGCGGGGTGTTCCTCCCGCTGCCAGGCCCCCGGGGGGCCCAGACTAGACGTGACCTGGCTGTCCCCCAGAGGAGCCAAGAGCTCCTTCTCATCCCAGGGCTGATCCTGGCTGTTCTCCTGACATGGAGGGTGGCGGCAGGGAGGGGGGCAGGATTGTTAGGGTGGGGGTGGGTCTGGGGGAGGGGTAGGAGCAGCACCTTGGGGACATTGTGTCAATTTTGAATAAAGATGGTTTTGGCTGAAAATGCTCTGGGGGCTGCTGTCTCCTCACTCGGATCTACGATGCTCCTTAGAGAGGGGACCCGAGAGGGGGAAGGATGCGGGGTGTCAGGGGTGCTGTGCATCCACAGGTGACCCTTCAGTCCCTGCTTCCAGACTGACAGGGATTCTGCCCACTGCTCCTGGGAGCACACAGCTCTCCACTCCCAAGCACCCTTCCCATCTCTTCTGCTCCCCACTGGGTCAGGGACCCCTGAAGTGGTCAGACAATGGGGTGAGGGATTCTCAGCTCATCCAGGGTGTCCTGTGTGGGTGGCCTGACTGGAGAGGACAAGGCTTGGCCTCAGGGGACAGGGTGTCTGCCTCTGGGCCTCCTGGCAGGAGAAGCATCCTCTAGACTCAGTGGAATGATTGAAAATGCAGGGTGGTGGAGGGGTGAGGCGAGAACACGGGGTTATACAAGAGAAAAACAGTGACAGCCTGGTAATGGTGGGTACAAAGGAAATGACAGTGGGTGGGGCAGATCCCAAGTCCAGTGCCGAATTCTGTGTAGGAGCATCTTGTCCAACTGAGCGGAGGACCCATCTGCTGTGGCTGAGGGACGGGACTCAGGGACAGTGGTCTTCAAGGACACCCACAGCTACTGTCCCTTTCCTCCTACCATGGCTGCACTCAGTGTGAGGAGATGCTGCGCAGATGTACACTCACGTGGAAACAGTTCCTACTCACGGACTGTCACCAAGTGTCACAGCTCAGCCAGCAGGGGCTCAGGGGCCCAGGTGTGTGTGGCCCCAGGGCTGGTGGGAGCTGGAGATCCAGGCTGAGGGAGGGTCCCCAGTCACCCTGCTGTGGGCACTGGGACAAACTCACAGTCTAAACAGTGGACCCGAACCCCAGCTGTAAGAGTGAGATGAGCCAGCAGTGAGGGACAGGAGCTGAGCCCAGGACACCCGTCTGCAGAACTGCCTGGTCCCAGCTCTGCTCCCACGGGGCCACGCCCTGGCCCTCACCCCTTTCCCCCTGCCCGGTGCCTGCTCTCCAGGACTGCAGTTCTGATTCCTTCCCTGGGCCAGGTGGTGTCAGGACGGCTGAGCCTCACTGAGCATGGCCCTGACTCCCCCCAGCACGCAAAGCTGTGGCCCAGGACTGTGGTCCAGCAGCAGCGACGGGAAGGGGCTGAAGCCGTCCAGTTCCACAGGTGGCCTGGGCCCCACGAGGAATCTGGGTGAGAATGGTCTCATGTCAGGGCCCCACCCCTTCCACAGATTGAAGATCAGCCCACAGGCCCTCGTTGCTGCCCTCCCTCCGGCTGGACTGGAGGGCAGCACTCATGTCTCCCCACCCACCTGGGCACTTTGTGAAGGACAAGTCTCATCTTGGTCACACTTTCCCCAGCTGCTGCCCCCTCCCTGTCCACCTGGGCCTCAACGCAGAGAAAAGGGCTCAGAGGTTGTGTAGACTTGGTGAGTCTTGTGGGGCTGGTCCAGGAGCTGCAACTCTTTGTGAGTGAGCATCCACCCCACATGCCCACCCGAAGTGACCCTGCCTAGGGTGGCAGGCTCTGGATGCAGAATTAGTGGGTGATAGACAGAACCTGGGTTCTCCATTTACTAGTGGGAATTAGTCCTGTGACTTCTTGTTTTCAGGGTCTTCGTGGTGAAACAGGGTAATGCACCCCCCTCTCAGGGTTGTTAGAGATACCGAGTGAGTCGTGTTTGAGGGGAACTTACTTGATCCACCCCTGTGTGTGCTGGGTCCTCAGTCACCAGCATCAGGTTCACACCAAGCCTTTGGGTGTCTCTGCCCCTGTCCTCACTCACTTGGTCCTTTCTGTTTGGATGAACAGTTCCCTGGGGGAGGCAGGACCCGGGCTGTCTACAGTTCCAACCCTTTAAACCCACTGGTGATGAAAACCACAATGAAATATTACCTCACACCTGCCAAAATGACTATCATCAGTCAATCATCAAAGATCAAGTGTTGGCAGGTGGTGGACAAAAGGGTACCCTCATGCCCTTTAGTAGGAATGAAGATTGGTACAGCCACTGTGGGAAACTGTATGGTGTTACCTCCAAAAATAAAAATGGAACTGCATTATGATGCAGTGATTCCATTTCTGAGGACATAGCTAAAGAAAACTGAAACAATAATTCAAAAAAATATGTGCACGGCTATGTTTATTGCAGCATTATTTACAGTAGCTATTATTCGGAATCAGCCCATCTGTCCATAAACTGTGGTATATTTACACTGTGGAATACTACATGGCCATAAGAAAGAAGGAAGTCTTACCTTTTGCAACAGTATGGATGAACCTAGAGATTATTATGCTAAGATAAATTAAATAAACCATTCAGACAATGACAAATACAATACGGTCTTATTTATATGGGAATAATGAACAAAATAAACTGACAAATGAAATAGAAAAAAGAGGAATCGATGCATGGAGGATTGTCAGTTTTCAGACTGGAGGGGCCAGTGTAGACTGGATGAAAGAAGGTTAAGGAATTAGCCAAAGAACACATATGCATAACCCACAGGCACAGAAAACATTGTGATGATAGCTAAAGTGAAGAGGGGGAGGTAGGGGCTAGGTGGAGGTGGGCAAAGGGGGGGACGGGTGATAGGGACTTCTACAGTAGTGTGAACAATAAAAATTTTCAAAATAATAAAATAAAATATTTAAGTACCATAAAAAACTTTCTAAGTGCTATGTGCAAAACTTATAAAATTAAATTTTAAAAAATAACCCTTTTGCAAGGAATCTAAGTTGTTGGATAAATAAGTGGACGTTGCATCCATGTATTCCAAGGACCAAAGTGGAATTACAAATAAAATACTGAACAATCAACTTGAATAACCAACTGGGAAATAGCTGAACAAAAGTCTAATTGTAACTGAACCCAGGATCAGCTGCCTGCCTCAACAAAGATCAAACTTATGAGACAGGAGCTAGTGAGAAGGAAAGAGGTTTATTCAAGTGCTGGCTATCTAAAAAGATTGGGAACTCTCATTGCAAAGCCTGTGTTAACATCTCAGTGTAGGCAGAGGCTTTAAAAGAGAGGGAAAAAAATAGAGCAAAGGGATAGGGAGGAAGGCCTGTGGACATACAAGCAGTGTTGTTGTTTGTCCCAATAGGGAGTTTTACAGCCAATGTCTTGAGTGGGCCATCTGTTTTTTTTTTGTTTGTTTTTTTTTCCAATTGAATTCCTGTTTCCAGGAAATTGGCATTAGCTGGTGCCTTAAGGTCAGGCTGCTCCTTAGGGTCACACAGGAACTGAAACTGCTGAACTGTAAAGTATACTAAAAAATCTTTCAACATGCAAGCTCCAGTATTGAGTGAAAAAAACAAGTTAGAGTAAAAAGCTGTGTTTAATATTTACTAAGATTAATATAGGTAGTGTTCTATAAGTATAGTGTATTCACTCCCCATTACACTATAGCAAAGAATTTATGGAGAAAGACACCGTGATGGATAGGAAGTAAGAAGACATGAAAAGGGCTGGGCACACTCACATGCAGAGGCTGGAATCCACAGGGATACCTCAACTGAGAAAGTCATCCCTGGGGAACATGGGGTCTCAATTGCATGCTGGGCTTCACAGCCCAGAGCACCAGAGCTAGGAAGACAATCCCACATAAAATCTTCCTGTGAAGATCAACAAGGATTCTGTCAGCCAGGGATAGATGGGATTCTGCTAGAAAACCAGGTGTCCAGTTAAAGGACCAATACAAAATTCTCATTTGTAGCTGGAGGTTGGGGGTTTGGTGGATGCACAAAATGTAAGCTTGAGGTATGCATTCTTGAAACCTGGCCAGCCAAAAATCAAAGTATACATGTGAATACATAAGGTATGCATGTTGGGCTGAAAAGCCACCCTGATAACGCTTATTGCCCAAGGGTGAACGTATTTGTTATGTATCTCCACTGAAAACAAGAAGAGACAGCTGGAACAGGAAGTATGCTGGGCTTGGCTGTAATGTCAGCAGAGACAGGATCTCAAGGACTTCATTACCTAAGGCACCATATAACCTAGGGAACCACTTTAAAATGAATTGGGCTGCAACCAGAAATCTGAAGCATTTTCTAACTTGCGATGCTCCCCCTCACTCCAAGAAGGGTCTACTTGTAGTTGATTGTGTTGCAATGACACCCAGCAACCTGAGAGAGTCTACAGTAGCC